GCAGAGGGAGTAATTCTCTACGTAAAGAATTGCCTCAAGGTCCACATTGTCGAACCCCATTGTGAAAAGGCTGATATGTCAGAAATGCTCTTCTGTCGAATTCATGACGGATACCAATCGCCAATGGTCGGAGTGGTCCATGGAGTCCCTGCAGGACCTGGCTCACACATATTACACGCCGTGCAAACCTACAGCAAAGGAACAGACTGTCTCCTTATGGGTGAATTCAGTGCCCCTGGCATAACCTGGGGCCTTCTTCACAGTGACCTCCCAACGGACTCTTTTGAAGTTGCTCTGGATACCGTTTGCGAGTGCAGCCTGACACAGCATGTCTTGACCCTAACAAGGATGGTCCCTGGTCAGAGACCAAACATCCTATACATGGTACTCACCTCGGCCCAATCTGATGTCTCAGGTCTAACGTTCCTCCAACCTCTTAGGAAAAGTGATTACTCTACAGTCTACTGTTCGTGGACACGACGCTTCACAATCCACGATCAGGGGACACTGCGTCGAAATTTCTGGCGCACTGACCAGCACAGATTAAGAACGGCTGCAAGTAACATGGACTTGTGAATTCCGCAATCCTTGGAGATTGAGGACGGATTAAAACGCCCATGATGAATGACGATGCGAGTCATTGAACAATTTGTTCCAAACTGCAAGATCAGATCACCATCAAAATAACCCCATGGATTGGTAAAGAAGTAAGATCCATAATGAAAAACGACGGAAACTATGAGATCATTTCAAGAGCACAGAACTGACATCAAGATACTTAGAGTACAAAAACGTCAGAAACCTATGCACCCTGAAGGAACGGGTTAAAAGACTACAATATGAACATGGACTGGCCAAGGAATCCAAAAACTGTCCTAAAAAACGCTTCGCCTACCTGAAGCGAAATACCGAAGCAGGGAGTCAAATCCCCGCTGTATGCTCTTCTAAGAAAGGTACTATTCTCTATGGTGATGATGAAAATACAATCTTACTGGCTGCGCAATATTCCACGGTCTTCTTAGTGGAATCACTGCTGCTCAGTTACTGTTTGCCTGCACACTACTCTTCTATGGATCAAGCTGAAATTAACCCCGAGGTAGACACTAAGTTACTCCTTGAACTGGACCGGAATTCCTCCCCAGGCCCGGAAGGATGGTATACCAGCTTCCTCAAAACGGTAGCTGTACATCGCCGCTCCTCTATGTCAAGTAGTTCGGCAATCTCTTGAAGTCTGCCGTTTACCCACAGACTGGAAAACATCTACCGTTATGACCAAATACAAGGGGAAAACCAACAAGACCCAACAAACTACTGACCAATATGCCTGACATCAGTGGTATGCAAAACCATGTAACGAATAGTCAAATTTTCTCTCCAGCTACACTGTGTGAACCTAAACATCATCTCACACGCTCAACATGGCTTACGAAAAGTACGCTCATGCATCTCTAACTAACCCATCACCAGCGAAACGTGGTGAGAAGCCATAGATGTCCGAAAACAGGTCGACCTAATGTTTGTTGACTTCAATAAAGCCTTTGATAAAATTCGACACGTACGCATGCTACATTAACTCCAGGGAATTGACAGTAGAGGAAATTTTCTCCACTGGATTTTCGCTTTTTAGGTGTTTGGACAACTCGCGTACAAGTGAAACATCCTCTCTGCTCCTGTGCCTATTAGTAGTGGTGTTCCCCATGGATCAGTAATTAGAGCAGCGATCTTCAAATTGCACATTAACCACCTGCCGACTGTACTTCAAACCGACTGCTTGAGTTACGTCGATGACCACAAGCTATGGTCAACAGTATCCAGCATTGAGGATGCGGACAGATTACAAGAGGCTCTAGACCAGCTACACGAATGGTCCATCAAGTGGGAACTGCCAGTAAACCGAGATAAATGCGCTGTTCTCCCAATGGGTAGCACTGAGCCTTACGGTGCATACCACATTGGTGGGTTTCTCCTCAGGAATACCACCCCCGAGAGAGATCTCGGGGTTATCGTGACTTCTGATCTTAGGTCGACGCAGGACATGTTGAAGAAGTTGGCCATTGGAAGCAGAGAGTAAGTGCCGTAAGAAGATCATTCGCTCGAATGATCCCTGAGATTTTTCCAACGATTTTCACCTTGTATGTCCTTCCACTCTTAGGAAATGGACTAGCAGCTATCCATTCGCTTTCAAAGTTTGTATGCTTCAGAAAGGTGCATCTAAAGCTGTTCTGGGGCTTCAGGATATACCGTAGCCCATCCAACTCCAGCAGCTAAACCTGTTGGCGGGATGATCACATATACACTAGGCTCATCCTCCGAGGAGAACTTGGAAGTGAGTTACGACAATTCTTCCGGCCCAACACTGACTGTTACACAGGACGTCGCACATGAAAAATATTTAAGCAAAGAAGACGGAGATCAGATGGACGTCACCCTATCCACTAGAGTAGTAAGTGAATAGAACGGCCTACCGGAAGAAATTGCGGACGCCCCATCAGAGGCAAGTTTCAAGCGGCTGCTAGATAAACAATAACTGAGAATGCTGGAATCTTTCGGCTGTCACTGCAACTGCGACGAACCGTCGAGTAACGTCGTACCGCAACGACATGCATCAAACCCAGTATGATATGGATTCGATGGGTTTGACAAGGGAATTCCTTCCTGCTCTCTACAAATCAATGAACACAATGAACAACTCGGTGCACATCCGCATTGTCCTCGAGCACAAATCGTTAACGCTTGCCCGCGCCGCTGTTGTTTCTAATAAGGTTTTGCAGCTAGCGTTACGCACACGTTCCGTGCCAAGAGCAGTTATGCTGCTCGATACAGAGACCGTCTAAACATGCCTGTCTTGCGAGTACGTATGTGACTCTTGGTTACCAGCAGAGCTGATAATGTCTAATTGCGTTTCACTCTCCGTTACATGGCGGAACTTGTTCCTACGTCATAATTTGTTACAGTTAAAGCAAATTGAGTAACGGCACCCATCAATTTGACGCTGATAGCTAGTGCCAGATGCAGAAAGGAAAGCTTTATCTGACTAAGCCTTACGAACTTACTTGAATGAGACAATGGCTATCGTCATTCTGTGCAGAAATCACAGCGTCTGGTATTAGGTATTTAATAGAAAGCAGGCAACGACAATAAGAAGATTTATCTTACATCTTTCATCGGCACGAGAGGCTGTTCCCCATAAGAAAATACCATTATGTATCGAGTCTTTACTTACGTAGTTTTCCATTGGGGGAATGCATTTAAAAGAGTCCATTCTGAGGTTTGCTGGTAATACGTATACATTTATATGTACTGCAGTTTCTTACCTTCAAATATTTTATAGACAAGAATAGACAAATATGTTGGGGGTTCCTCCTGTTTATGCAGTTATTTTCGTTGCCTCTAGTGGGCCGCGCGTGATACAAACAAATAGATGCCTCTATGTATAATTCGGTGCGCTGTTTATTGCTTCAGTTTCTCTTACCAATGTGGCCTACGCTTAGCAGTTGCCTTGTGCGGATAATAACGGCGTTGGCATTTTACGCTTGGCCGTTAGTATATAAATCAAGTAACCTTCCTTACAAAAGTAAACTAAACGGTCACATTATATGGGTTAATGTGAACTATTCACCTTGACGTATTAGTAAGGCTGACCGATATTCTTAACATTTGTTTACTCATTCTAAGTTGTTTACAGATATGATAGACCCACATTTTCCAGTTGGTCTAATTGCGACTATTTAAGTCAAAGTAACACGCAGTCCGGTAGCATCAGATGTGCTGTGCACGATGAGCTTGCCCAACAAAGTAAGCTATGGTTAGATCTTGCTTCTCTAACATGTATACAATTTATATGAATTACCTGGGTGGTTATTCTAAATAACGTATTGAGACCCACTTGTTCCATCAACGCATGTGTCGTGATAACAATACTACTTCCTCGCCGCCGTTGAACTACTGTTAGCAATTAAGTAAGAGTGGGACGGGACAAAGCGAATAAGGTTACTAAGAGTTTTGAGGACTTGCTTTAGTGTTGTCTTCGAAACCAATGTTGGTGGATGAATGTAACACCTATAGTCAGAATTTTATTATACTAAGCTCCTTGAGTGTTGATCCAAGGGAATGTATTCATTATATGTATTATGCTGCAGTCCAACGTAATGTACTAACGCAGTATGTTTCTGATTTCGTTTGTATTCAAGATAAGGCCAACTTGTTGTTTATCACGAGAAAATTTGTTTTGCATAATGGATTATTTTGTTCGTACTAGCTAAAATAAATTAATAGACCGTAAAAGCGCGTGAACGCCCTAAAACACTTAATTGTTCTTTTTTACTTGTTTACAGTCATCTCAATAGTATATCAACAGCAAGAATTTAATGAACAACGCTTGTTTTGTCTCTGCGAATGAACAGCTGTGTATGATGTCTTAACTTCCTCTACTAATAAGATAGTGAGCGCAGAGTTTGATAATTTTAATTCTTCACAAATCAGAAAGAAACAATCCTCCTTTGAATGTTGTCTAACTCTTTGAACACCACAGTAACACATCGTTTCCCTGCAGTTTTGCTGAATCCATGTTTTACATTGTACATTTAACTGACCTGTTTTAGTATTGCAAATATCGTGTTTCACATTGTTTGCCATCTACAAATTCTTTGCATGTGTTTTGAAATTTCCTTTGCTATAGGAGAGCACCCTGTAGCACTTGAATTGTTTGAATGCGCTACTGAATGCCGGATTTAGCTACAAACTCCTCTGTGACCTAAGTGTACTGCTGTGCTAGAAAGATAATTCATTAACTAATGTGGGTCAATAGCATATTCAGCATTGTGTAATGAAAACGAATACTATATCTTTAATTGAACCCGGGAGTGGTTCATCACATTAGTGTTTCAGGATGTCAAATCTTAACCGCCAATTGTTTATGCACCTATGTTTGACTCTGGACAACTTTCTGTTTTTCAATGACGGTAGATTGTTTTTGTTTACTGTAGGAATCTTATGGAAGTATGGTTACTGAAAGTGACGCTGCTCTCGTCGTCATCGAGTTCTACGCGGAGTGGTGCGGTCCTTGCACGATGATTGCTGATGATTTTGAAAACCTGAAGAAAAGCTATCCTAGTGTTTACTTTTATCGGATTGACGTTGATTCTTTTCGTGTAAGTACACCACTTGATGTCAAAACTGCAGGGTCATATGTTTTAAAGACTTGTGTCATTTACTAGTGGGTAAATATTTCGCTTTCGCAACGTTTCGTTTTGTTCTGCTTGGACTAGTTCATTAGGTTGTTGTGTTCAGATGTGATTTCCAACATTGTTTCGTACAAATGTTGGATCAATTCCCCAGCTTTTACGTCTTAACAATTTGCAACCTAAACATTTCTAAATTGTTAAATCGCATTCTGTAATATTTTCATCTTTAATTAATAAACCACACCCGTTAGCGCGTATCTTGTATGTTGAAATAATTAAGAACAGGCGACTGCTTTCATTTTATCATCTGGGTTTCTGCTGCTCACTAAATGTGGATTGTTTTCCCGTGGATTTTACTTAACCTTGTACAAAAATTCGGTACATAGGATCAATGATGCAGCATGGCCATGCAACAAGTCTTTCCTTTTTATTTTGGTCTACAGCTGTCTTAATTTGTAGGTTAAGTGCACTGGCTCACGTATATACTAATTTATTTTCAGCTTTGGAGGATTCAAACTCGGTAACACAATGCTTTTGGTAACATTTCTAAACTATGCATTCGATTGGATACAATTTGAGCACTCAATGGTTATCTGCTGTGGCTTAATTATTTTATAGCATAAGACCCGAATGCTGGATATGAAATAGAAAAATCTTCTCTTGATATTGTTTCTCGTACATTAACTAAGATGAAAGATAACTTTTTTTACCTTCTTCCGCATAACATGCATGACTTCAAGACGTCCGTTAAAAAGCCCACCGATCCTTCTTGGTGATTGCTGTTATGCTACTGGTTGCCCCATTCGGAAGCATTTCTGAAGCAGCTCGGTCACTCAGAGTATCACTCCCCACCCAACATAGAGCTATGACATAATTGCACTGTTTTCCTGTTGCAAACACCATTTACACTCAGTGGAAATCGATTTCCATAGGGGACTAACGTGATTCTATCGCTGAGGCCGTTCTGCTGTCTGCGAATCGTCTCCGCAACAACGCAAGTGGATTGCATATACTACTTGAAATCTCGTGAAAAGAATGTCCAGTGGATCCCGCTAACAAAGAGAGGTACAGAAATTGGCAAGATAAGAAAACGGTGATTACTCACGGTGTTAATGAGCTTACTGATTCCCCTTCCGACGATGCTCACACGCAGGACCGCGAACAATGGCACTACATCCGGGTAGCCCTTTCTCTCGCAAATGTCGTGGCCAAATCGTTGACAAGGATCCCCATAACACCAAACTATAAGGGGTGCGGTCCCAAGCTGTTACAACTTGTGTTACAATCAGAACTAAGGGCACAAACCCTACTAGAAAACTGGAGTAAATTCCGTTGCAGATTGACAACCGAAATTCGTCTAAAAGCAGCGGGAACACCAGCGCCTTCCAATGACAATACAGTAGAGGCACAAATCTTAATGAAAACGCCAATTGCATGACCCGAATCGGGGACGGTATCAACAGTAGCAATAATATCCAGAGGGACGCACCAGAGCAAGAGCAGACACCGGGATCCGGGGCATCTGATACTTGACTATATACCGAACTCGTCGCAACAGTCTGCAACCCATCCAAAAAAATGTCGCCGACCCTTTATTGGTCGGTGTAAACTAGCTTGCTTCATCCATCCAATCTAACAAACTTTTGGTCATCGAGAAGCTCTAATGCACATACACAAATGCCCAAGTTCTACTTAGCAAATTAGCTGAATTAAGACGCCGACACGCGTCAGCATCTTGGGACCTCATCGCTGTCCCCGAAATGTGGTAGCTCTGTGAGATAACGGATGCTGAAATCACGCTCACGGGCATGTCCGTTGTCCGGAAGGATGGAGCCAGCAAAGGTGGTGGGGTAGCACTCTACTTTCGTAACAACATGCAATACGAACCCATAACGGTTCGGAAACTGACCTACCCGTCGCCATTTGGTGTAATTTCCGGCTGAGTGTGAACGATCTTGTTCTATTGGTTGTTGTTTACCGCCCACCATCGTCTACTCCTGAGATGGACTGCAACTTGATGGCTGCGTTGAGGCAAGTGATAAACAGGAAGTACAGTCACATTCTAGTCACCGGCGACTTCAACTTACATACTCTAGAATCCCAGGCCACACCAGAAGAGCAATTCAAAACAGACCTACAACATTTTGTTGCTGACTTCCCGTTTACGGCCACGTCACTACGCCCAAATGTTTAGGGGAACCAACGGGCCATCCATATTGGACCGAGTATTCACCAATGAAGTACTGATGGTCGAGAGATTGATAACCGAAACTCCTCTGGGCCGCACTGATTATGCGACGCTAGTGTTTCATTACATGTGCTACGCGGATTATCCTAAATAGCATGCCGAGGAATACCATGTCGTAACCAACTATGACGACCTGTCCGAACACATTGATGCAACAAGCTGGTCGTTGTTAGTCGAATTAACCCCTGAGGTGGCCTGCGGAGAATTCGTCAACTTATTTACCAAGCTCGTGACAAGGAAATCTGAAACTAAACTCTGCCGGGATAAAAGGATGAAGTCTTTCGTAAGGAGCAGGACACGTGGATACATGGCATTAATGGACTCGGCATGGCACACCTACATAGCCTCCCCGAATGACCATGCCTGGGATGTCTACACAATACAAAGAAATCACTGTGTCAAACTCGTCCGGGAAGATAAACTTAAGAACCAACAAGTTCTAGTGGATAAGTGTTGCTCCAACCTCAAGCTGCTATACAAACACGTAAAAAATTTGTGCCGTGTTATGCGCGGTATTCCTGCTCTGCACACTGCATGCGGGTTAACCCAAACCGCATAAGAGGTGGCCGACGTTCTTGGACAACAATTTGGCCGTACCTTCTATAGCGTGTAATCATCATGCATCCTGCCCAAGCAGATAACGCCGCCATCGGGGCGTAATCACATATCGTTCACCTCCGCAACTGTACTGGAGGGGCTGAAGTCTCTGCGCGAGTTCAGCTGCCTGGGTGCGGACGGCATTCGCCTGCAAGCGTTGAAAGTTGCTGCAATGAGTTTAGCAGGACCACCAGCAATTTTCTTTCAACAATGTATGACCGAACTGCACGTCCCCACGCTGTGGAAGCACGGAATCTTCACTCCAATCTTCAAGTAGCAGTCTTGCTGAATCAGAAAAGTGTCGTCCGATAACACTACTTCTTGTGATTTCCAAGGTTATAGAGTCAATTGTAGCTGAGGATTTAATGAGGTATCGGTAGAACAATAAAAACCTCGTTCCGGAGCAGCACAGATTTCGGCAAAATCGGTCCTTTATCACTAAGCTATTGATTACTCAGGCAAGCTGGCCGGAATCTGTGGATGCTGGTGTAGGAGTCGACACGGCCTACCTAGATTTCTCAAGGGCATTCGAGCGTCTAGACCATAGCATTCTCCTCCATAAACTCCAGAAATATGGAATCGGCGATCCTGTTCTGGGCTGGATAGGAGACTTTCTTGTGCAACGTCACCTAAATTTGCGGGTTCGATGCAACCTGTCGGAATCCATCGAAGTTCAGTGCGGCGTACTTCAGGGCTCGATACTTTGACCCCGCCAGTTCCTGGTTTTCATAAATGATTTCGCGAACGTGCTATCTTCTAGCTGTTTTCTGTTTGCTGATGATCTAAAGGTATGGCGCACCATAACTGCAGTGAAGGATCACACAGCGTTACAGAAGGACCTGGACAAAGCGTGCACATAGTTCATCGAGAACATGCTGCATTTCAACGTCACCAAGTGCAAAGTTCTCAGCATATGACGCAAGAATATGCACAAGTAACGCCTAGGAGCACAAATTCTACAGCTGGCTTCTCACGATTGCGATCTCTGCGTGATGGTTCAACATGACCTCAGTTGTTTGAGGCAGACTGAAAAGGCATCTAAGAAAGCAAACCAGTACCTCAGCCTTCTTGGCAGAGTTTTCGGGAAGTTTGACCCTTCAGTCTTTTCAAAAATGTTAAGTATGTACGCGAGGCCGCAAGCAGAATACGCTATTCAAGCGTGGCAACCCTTGCTCAAGCACCATCTCATCGCGCTCGATACTGCATAACGTAGGGTAAGGAAGAGCGTCAGTGGTTTGACCAGTCTCCTCTACCCACTCAGACTGAAGACTCTCAAAATATACAGTGGACTTTATCAGTGTGTAAGGGGCGATCTCATAATGGTGTATTTGACCCTGAGAAACCCCAACCACCCATGCCATTCCCTTCTAATACTCAATCAAAACACCTCGCTATAAGGTCTTCAGTTTAAGCTGGTCACGCAATGCAGCCGCCTAGAATGTCGGCCGAATTACTTCTCCCTTCGAGTGTCACAGACTTGGAACGTCCTCTCGGAACATGTAATTAATGCACCTACCCTATCCCTTTTCAAAAAACGCCTTGACGATAATCTGTCACATTTACACTACATGCTATAGCCCATGACCAATAGATGCTGGCAATAATGCACAACAGACAATGGATAGTACCACAACCCTACTCAAAAATGAGACACTCTAAACCCGTTAAACAAAATTTGATAAACGTTACTACTATAGAAACTGGATTTCTCTATCCCGTCGACCCAAGATAGTTGCACACGAGTAAGCGTTGCCCATGCTATTTTTTACTATTTTCTCGAGTATTACGTGATCAATAACCACTCCTCTTATTGCTTTGTGTGTGTACATTCACATTTCAAATCCCATTTATACGGTCGTCACTTAAATCTGTAATCTCCCAAACTAACAACTCCATTATCCCTTGCTCCATCTTTGGTGTCACGCTAAACACCCTACGGGACAAGTCAAGCACCTGTTTTTTGCCCGTTATAAATAATTGTACACAATAAAATGGTTTTCGAATAAATAAATAAATGAATAAACCATACACGGCCAAATAAGCGGGAGCGTTCATTTGAACAGCAATCGGAAGTCGTCTGAAACGTGTCCCATTGGGACAGCCAGGAGCACAAAATTCGGCCACTCAATGACAGCCTATCGGTTAGTCACGCTGACTGAAGAATAGGGTTTTCGTTACGAAGGTTTATACATAATGACCGTTGGCATTCATGATGCATTATCACATTTAGTGGCGTATTTAAACCTATATCACTAATATATTTCGTACGCATTTTGCCCTACTGTGTAACCAAATCCCCTATCTGTGTGGACAGGGATTACCTGATGTCCGTCTTCCAACTAACTGGTACCTGTAAAATTCTCCGTCTTCTGTTTACTAGACCGAACTTAGATGGTCAAGCCGTAACTGTTTGTAATGGTTGAGACACCACGATGATTAAGTTCGCAGATTGAGTATTTATTGCTTGAATAAATGCAGTCTATAGGTGTCCTAACGTAGGTCCCTTGAATAATGGTGACAGTAAAGTTTTATTTGGCAAATACATACATAGAGCTTTCAGTTTTCCTTTTAAATGATCAATGTACCCCCTAAATTTATCGAGATGTCCTCTAAGCTAGCTAATTGCATCCAAATGGAGCGAACACCCTGAATCCAACTGTTCATTGAGTGACCGATCGGAAATCGGTCAATAGCTTCACACGCTGTGTACTCATCCGTCATACTATCGGCTTATTTGCAAGTGGACATTCAATAGGTAGTACACAATTTTCGGAGCGATTACGCAAGCTTCGCGCAATTCCATTGTGTTTAGGACTAACTTGTAAAATCAGGGGAGGAATATGATTTCATTAAAGAGGAATTTGAAAGCGCAGTGGGTGCAGTTGTCAGAGTAAAGGTGTAGTGTTTCATCATACATTAGTCAGAAGCAAACGGGTAGGGTTATATTACACGTAAGTCAGTTTACATCACAGTGGCTTAACACCTATTTCCAGTGGCGATTCAAAGCAACAGCGGCTGTGTAACTTAACATATTCCAGCGCAAATGGCCACAGAATATAACCTGGTTAGAAATGCAGAATTGTTCTTGATGTAAGTAAAATCTTTTATCCTTTCCTCTCCGCAGATTTCTGCCCACGTCCACTTCTTCTAGTTTATCTCCTTCATTATATGTTAGGTTTGCAGTTGATGCGCATTTATAAAGGCAATGCTTTACTGACCACTATTTATTTGGAAATTTTGCCATTTTTACAGTATCGAGAGGCCGCAAAGGAGTACAAAGTGACAAGGGTGCCTACATTTGTTGTCTTGAAGGACCGAAAAGTGCATCATACCATCGTGGGCGCCAACATCAATGCCCTTAAAGAAGCAATTGACTGTTGTCTTTAAGCTTTACTCTGTAACTGTCCAAAGAATTTTGGGAAATAAACCCAATTTTGCAACTAACTTGTGTGAATTGCTGCTTACTTTCGTACATTTAAATGCAAAAGTAGGGTACAGTTAGACAGCCTGCTAGCCGCTGGCATACCTGCACCTTTCTGTTTAATTCTTAACAGTATATGGTCTTCCTTTCACATAATATTATGCTGCACACTTCTAGTTGACTTCCACACCGATATCGAGAAAAACATGTCTTATTTGTGCCTACAATGACAAGCTTTCGTTAGCGATATATCACACAATCATCACACATTGTCACGCTGAATTGGAGTTCATGCTAAAACAGAGTAAAATGTCAGTTTATTTCAAGCAGTTATGTAAATAGAGCCATTAATTTACGGATAATTAATTGTAGCGTTATTTACTCCCACACTCATTTCACGTCGGACGCACATGTTAGCTTTGAACAACACCGTGATTCCCTGAGTAAGCATAATCAAGAAATCAAAATAATGGAATTGAATGGTCCCAAACGTCTTATGCGTGCGGGCATCCAAGAATCGATAACTTACTGAATCAATTCGCACAATAATCTAATAGACTTTAAAGTAACTGTAGTCTCAGTTTATAAAAGCAATATCCCATTGTTGTTGAAGATCTTTAGCTTAGAGCAAACTCTAGAAACATTGACAGAAGCTAGTATAAAAGGCATATGAGCAGATATTCACTTACAACTACCTTACCCACTACATGTCATTACCTACAATATGAAATCCTGTGTCTGTGCCGCCTAGTATCCTCTCTCAATTATTATCTACTTCTCAGTTCCACAAACTAGAAACTGATGATACAAATCTCGGTAATGTTTAAATATTACTTGCTCGGATCTAGGACCTGTGGAAATAAATTATGATCCGAAATTTTATTATGTTACTTTCCTTTACCATTATTATCTAAGCCGCATACACCGTGAAACCTGTGCACTACACAAATAATCGCTCCTGCTTATGGGGCCGTGTACCTTTTGTCGATAAATAGACACATCTATTTATTTATGGCTAAATTTGAAAGTACGATGGTTGGCTTAAGAATTATGAGTACCAAACCGTCAGTAGGTCTTCAGACTTCAGAATAGTTTTCGCCTATTCTGCCTGTCTTTCAGCGTGTTCTTCATGACAGTATTAATCGTCCATTGAATACTTAATTGGATGTAGGAATATAAATACAAATCTAATGAACTCTAAGATTTGTGTGTTATGTACTCAGGCCATTTTTGTGTTAGACATAAATTAACCTTTGAATCATAGACGCTGCTGCAGGAAAAATTCGAATGCATTTTCAGTTACATTCTAAACCATGTTTAACCTATCTTTCTTTCTTTGCTCTGCCTAACCCATGACGATATAATCACTAGAGCTATACCCTTCATTACATAACTAACATCAGCCTAAATCCACTGAGGCAAGTTTTGCTGCTTCCTTAATTTCGGTTGCTCATTAATGTTATGTCAAACCAAAATTAGATGAGCTGGTTCAATCAGATCCTCAAAAGCTGACATCTAAACTCTGCAACAATTCTCTAAAGTGGTTTTTACTTCATCTGTCCAGGAATTCAGGATACAAGTTACCAATTGCTTGGCTAATCAATATAACGTAATCACATGTAGGATGAGACAACCTCATGGAACCAATATGTTGGAAATATACGCTTTCCCTTATAGCACTTCAGTCAAACTTGCGTCTGTATTTCATAAGTAATTCGACGTTCTTTCCTAGTCCCGTTGCCTTTTAGTCCAAAGATATGCATAAACTACTGTAACACGAATCATCTCACAAGCTTAATAAATTCATCATCAATTTTAACCCACTAATGTCACACATCATCTGCTGACTTATACTTTTTCTGATTGACGTTTTCCACATTAACTCTGTCTCATCAGTCGATAAATTCAGCAGATCACAGAAAGACATTTTAACTAGAAGGCAAATGAATCATCGATAAAGAAGCATTTCGTAAGACTTAATTCTATTGCGACGTGCCACTCCAATTCTACCTGCCATCGATCGCACGTAAGTGACGTGGTATATACGGAATAAGAGAAAATGCGAGTCAAGTAAAGACTGAAAAAATCGGAGAGTTAGCTAGAAACGGCTGGATTAATGTTGCACACGAATTGCGGAGCGCGTGCGATTGGTAGTGGATTACAATAGTTTAAAGGAATTAACGGCGAGCAGGTCCAAAGGAACAAAACTTTTGTTGCCAAATACTGAGAGCGCAAATGCCAAAGATACAAAACAGGAGAGTCCGAATGGAAGGATGAGTATCAGTAGTTGCTGTGTTTTTGTCAGAAAAAATGGAGGGAATGCGAATTGGTGAAGTAACTGGTCGGTTGAAGTCAATTTTCTTACACAACGTTATGGGATTTGCTCAGCTACAGGCTTGTTTGTTATATTTTATTATTTTTGTGCATGCAGCACTGTATCATCAGTAGACTGTCGGTACGGATTTTTGAAGTGCAAAATTTCGCTTGCGCAGAACAATAACCACAGACCATTGTCTTCGCTACTGTCATGACGATGCGCTTGGAATGTGCGGTTTCCCTAGCCGCATCCATGTCAACGGCCAATGCGACCCGTACTTCTTTGGCGGTTTGCATAGACGATGGTTAAGGTACCAATCCATTGGATACCGCCAGCAATCATTGACCATTTTTGTGTTGAGTAATTTACCTAGTCAGATAACGATGGCCTTGGCGGTTGCTGTGGTCGACGTACTCAAATTTAGAGCTCAGGTGGGTTAAGAACGTGGTCGTATCATTTGGCTTGACGCCGGCCAAGGCAAAACACCAGTGCCTTTTCGTTCTACAAAAACCTTGGATTTCTAGTTGGCTTTACGAAATCGATAGAGATGTGAAATCGACCGAAGGCTCTGCGAAGAAGGCACTAATGTTGATTTCCGGTTTTCGACGCCATCTCTGCTTCGTTCGAGCATCCGAAATGGTCCTGTACCACTACACTCACGGCAAGCTCCTGAGTGGCCTTCCGAACTGTGTAGTTTGTATACTTTTATACGAGAACCGGATGATGACGCAGGGGATTATCTTGAACTTAGCTGTGTTCACTCGGATTGGTCTACGTATTGAAAATTCACGAGCGTACTCTGTTTTATATCTAAGGAAAAAGTGATCATCCTTACTGTAATTCGTTTGCCCTATTTTAAGCTCCTCAGCGAACAGCAGGAAATTGGAGGTAACTATTCTAAGGTCAGTTGATAGAAACCAGGAATAAGCTCCGTCTGGGCATAGAGCCCTGTAGAGCACAACATTTCACGTAGTCTGATTGAAAACTAACCCCCTAACACACACTTAAACTCTCTGTTGTGAGAACAGGTTTAAGAATAACTAAGTAATGGAATTCCATTTTCACAGCGCTGCAGCCTGTGATGTAAGATGCGGTGATCCAGGTGGTTGAAGGCTTTGTAGAGTTACACATGGGTGATATCGAATACGACCAAGCAATCATCCACTCGCGTGCAACTTGCTCCTACAATCAGCTAGTTGTTTGTGCATGATCGGCGTTGACGGAAACCATGCTGCTCCGATGCAAAGACACTGCACTTTTCCATTTGGTACACTAAATCCTCAGCGGCGACCGCTTCGATCATCATCTACTGCACCAGACGATGGTTTGTTGGGTCTGTATAGCTACCGACTTTAAAAATTGTGGTAAAATTACCATTTTTCCACAAAGTGGGACTTGTTGTTTGTCGAAGCATATTATGAAGAACTATGACAATGGCTCGGCTAGATTAGTAACCTCTGCCTTCCACGCTTTCAGTCGGATGTTTTCGGCTCCCGGAGAGGTATGATTGCGCAATGAGGACAACCAGCTTATTACAGTTGCTGGGGAGAAAAATGAATGAGTAAATCCTGTATTCGGTAATGCAGATGATGGCGTGTGCGAGTGACAGCCATTGAACTCGATAATTGGGCGTATTACACCGGCAGAGTTTTGCTTGCTTCGTCGATGCTTTGTACTTTGCCGTTTGTTATGAAAAGTTGCAAGATTCTATGATCTATTTTGAGAAGGCTGTTCTCATGTTTATACAGAAGTGTTGTCTCTAGTAACTGTTGATAATTAACTGTTCCTTACGGATAAGCATTGTAAAATTATTTTGGTGGGTAAGAAAATTGCCACAGTTCTCTTGGTCTGAGTTAGTCTTGGAGGCGTGACATGCTGCGTCTCATATTACCACGTAATTTTAGTTCTGCTTCCGAGAACTTACAGCACTTATGCGGAGCGACGGGCTTGGCTTCTGATGTTCTGTTGACTATATCACTGATTCTCCAGACGAACCCTGTCCAAATGTTTTCTTTGGGAAAATGGTTCCAAGACTCCCTAGCGAATGCCATGAATTCTTTTGGCACGTGTTAGCGTGTGACTGTAGGCGTCAGTTTTGTGTATTCGGATGGATAATCTGCATAACAAACATAGGTAAACTGTATTACTACATTGAAAATGAGACTTACTGAATTGTTAATCAATTACTTGTCGATAATGAGCTTTTCATCTGTGAACGCAAAGTCCGATATATACGGTTTGTTTGCTGTCCTGAATCAGATTGGCGGGGCGGCATGATTGTATATAGGAGTGATAGCGAGAAGTCCATGCAAATGTGCTTTGCTTTGGACATTGGGATATGCAGATACATCCAGGTAGCGTGTACTGTAATCACCGGAGATGAAAGTGTGGTTGTACCTAGAGCGTGATGCCTTATTCAATGCATGTAGCAAGCTAGGATACATTTCCTGAGTGGATGTTAGGAAGCAGTAAATGACAGGTACGAGACATGCGTCGTTGTGCTTTGTTCGGAGACGGCACCATAGGAAAACGGGTAAATAAGCGAAAGCATTACCATTCTCTACAGTGACCCGAATAAGAACCACAACATGACGAAAGGTAAACAAATTAAAAAAAGGAACATGGTTTTGGTGAACACGCCGTTGTGTT